ATCTTGGGCCTCCCACGGGGTCACAGCCTCCTTCATGCATCCCCCTGCTCCAGCACGGGCTCCTCCAAGGGCTGCAGGGGGGTCTCTGCACCCCGATGTCCCTCCATGGGCTGCAGGGGCACAGCTGCCCCACCATGGGCTGCCCCACGGGCTGCAGGGCCTCAGCTTCGGCACCTGGAGCACCTCCTGCCCCTCCTTCTGCAATGACCTCGGTGTCTACCTTGTTGTTCTCATGTTCTCCCTCTGCTCTTCTCTGGCTGGAATTTTTTCTGTGCCACAACCTTCTGTTCTTAAATTTGTTATCACAGAGGTGTTACTGTTACTCCTGATTGGCTTGGCCTTGGCCAACAGCAGAAGTCCGTCCTGGAGCAGGCTGGCATTGGCTCCACAGGAAAGGGAAGCTACCCCCTGCTACCAAAACCCAGGCACAGAAACCTGCTACACATTTAGGGAATAAGTTTTAATTCCAAACATGTCATAAACTCTTCCAGGTTGTCTAATATACTAAACAATCCTTTTATTGTGGCCTTTTAATGATAGTGAATTTTTGTATTTTTCCAATCTAAATACAAACAAAAAAGGGCTGGATGAAGAAAGAATTGAATCTCTCAAAACTGTATTGCCTTCCCTGTCCAGGCCAGCCTATGGTTCTGGCTGGTTGGACAGCAGTGGAAGATTTTTGATACTTTGTGCTTAATAGGAGACTCCTTTAATTCTGCCCCACTGTCCAGTGGGCAAATAGGAGAAGAGATGTTGAAGATAAGCTAGGAAAACTGAAGTAGAAATTTGGATTTGCTAGCTCTTTTGCCTGTACTCACATTATGTATGTCTCCAAATAGGAAATTCTTACTTATGAGTTACACACAAAATAAATCAGAATGCATGGGTTTGGGTTGTTTTTTTTATATTTTGGAAAATTTATAAGGTTTTCATGCATTTGATGTCAAGGGAGGGTAGAAGACACCATCTGAGACAGTAGGGAGAGCAGTAAATGAAGGACAAATTGCAACTGAGAAAGAGAAAGATTAAGTAAATGCATTTGTAGTTGCCTTCTTTAGAGAACTTGATGGTAATTACAAATCATTTTGCCTAAAATATGTGTGGCTTGTAAATGCTGTTGAATATGTGAAATATATCAAATAAAAATAAGGCAAGAGGAAATTTTCTAATGTGAATACAGGAATGAAGGAAGCAAGTAAGCAAGGAAACAAGGAAGGAAGCAAGGAAGAAAGGGTAAGCTCCTGTTAACCTGCCTTTAAGCAATTACCAAAGGGACTACAACAAAAGACTCTACAGAGCAGTGATGTGTGGTAGGGTTTCCCTCGTTGCTCTTCCTCCACTGTGGGCCATAATGGCATGCAAGAGCTACAGCCTAAGCTCAGTCAGGCACCCATGGGATGGAGGTATCATAAGGCCTTTGTGTTGCTAACCAACCAACAGAAACATTCTTCATCTGTCATCACTAATAGATGTGGCATTTCCCATGGAAGCATTAACATGAGGAGACCTTTAGGGAGAGGTGCAAACATCACTTTGCCTAACATCATAAAAGTAATCAACCTCACATGCAAACTTCCCAGACAGGAACAAAATTTATGACCAGAGGAAATCCAAAGAGGATTGACAAGTTGGGTTTTTTTTTCCCTGAAACAAATGGTAGTTGCTCAGTGGCCATGACATTTCACCACCTCCTCACAACTTAGGAGAAATTACGCTGACAGCAAGGGGCTATAAAGATGATAAATGAGGGGTTTGGGTTTCTGCGGACTTTGTCTTGGTTTATTCACAGCGTGTCCCCGGAGGTGGGACCTCCGATGGAAGGTCCCCTCTCCCCAAAAACTACGAAAATTTTTGAAATTATAAGGTGTTCAAGTGGAGTGTGAAAACGCATAACAACTTTACTAAAAACGGAGAACAAAACAGAACAAAACAACAATTAAGTAACAATATTTAAAAAGGAAAAAAAAAAAAAGATGTCACCGACCCCGCTCCCCGAGCTCCAATCCCGGCCGGTCTAATGGCCGGGGCGGGGTGTGACCCCTCCTCCATCCCCATCCCCATCCCCCTCCCCATCCTGGGAGAGGGTGGGGCGAGTCCTCCGTGCTTCTCCAAAACCACGTAATGGTATGAAAATTTAGCTAAACCATAACAGACTCATATTTTATAAGAAGATTGGATTATTTCAGTCCTCTAATTTGTAAATAATGTTAAGAATTGTCTGTCTTTTAATGTACCACACTAACATCTATTCGATGTAATTTGACTGTCTTTCCCCCCCCCCCCCCTCCCCTTCTACGAAAGAACCACATAGCTCATTTCCAGCAGATGCTGTAAGGGGTGAAAAGGTCACGGCAAAGTTCTGTGCTCTGGTGGAGTTCCTTAAGGCCTGAAGGGAGAGAAGGGCACTGTCACACACAGATGAGTGAGAAATAGGGTTAGCTTGCCAAAGAGATCTGTAATAGAAATTACATCTGTTAAGTCGCAATTTGTAGTAACTCAGCAAAGCTTAGAAAAATCTACCGAGGGAATTACTTCCCTGTGATTTAAACCAAATTGGCAACTAAATACTGTGCAGAAGCTCGTTCAGCCCCTCCTCTTTCTCTCTACCCCAGCAGAATGGGCAGGAGAATCAAAAAGTAAAAATTACAGGTTGAGATAAGAACAGCTGAAAACAAAGTAAAATATAATAATACTACTACTAAATAATAATACTAATGATAATTAAAAGGGAAAGAAAAACCAAACAAGTGAAGCACAATGCAATTTCTTGTCACTCACTGACTGATGCCTGACCCTCTCCCTGAACACAAATCAGTCCTGCTTCCTTGCCAATACCCCAGTTTATATAGTGGATATAATGTTTTGTGGTGTGGAATATCTTCTTGGCAAGTCACTTGTCCCAGTTATGCTCATTCCCAGTTTTTCTTTTGTGTACTTCCTCACTGGCAGAGCATGAGACATTAAAAAAAGTTCTTGATTTAGGATAAACACGACTTAGCAAAAACCAAAACCTTGGTGTGTTATCAACATTATTCCCACTCTGAATCCAAACCACAGCACTGTACCAGCTACTGGGAAGAAATTAACTCTATCCCAGCTAAAACCAGTACTCCTTTACTTGCATTTCTGTATTCTTAAAAAATATCTCTTCTGAGTATTCAGCTGCCACTGTTTGGCAGCTGTAAGCCCTGGTATACTAACATGAAGGCAAACCCATGATTTCCACTTGTTCTGGAGACATCACTCTGTAAACAAAATGTACAGTGCACCATGGCTTGCACAGCTTACATGACTCCATTGAAGGCAGTGGGAAATATAACCTGAGGTGATGTGGTGTCTATAAAGGCTGGGGGGGTGGACATATCAAGACCCAGCAAATGTGCACTGGTCAGAAAACCCATAAAGCAAATCGTATCCTGGGCTGCATCTATAGCAGTTTGGCCAGCAGGTTGGGGGAGGGGATTCTGCCTCTCTTCTCTGCTCTCGTGAGACCCCACCTGGAGTGCTGCATACAGCTCTGGGATCCCCAGCTCAGGAAGGACATTGGTTTGTTGGAACAATGTAATAACATGGAGAATCACAGAATCACAGAATTAGTTATGTTGGACAAGACCTCTGAGATCATCTAAATCCAACCTATGACCTAACACCAGCATATCAACTAAACCATGGCAATAAGTGCTGTATCCAATCATCCAATCTTTTAGGGAAACTATTCTCTAAATATGTCTCTCTATATATGACAGTAAACACAAAAAATCTATTTTACATAAGTGGCATGCACCAGGTTAACTATAAAGTAAAGCAGATCCAACTCCTTCACTGACTTTTTCCCTTCTTTCTCTTACTCTCTTACTTTTTAGCCCAGCTCTAGTCCATCCAGGTATCAGGCTGAATGTGATATCTGTGAACTGGTGATCCTCTTTGTTCTCTTTCTTGCCTTTATTTCTCTCCTCCCTTTCTTTGTCTGGGCAAAGTGTGGCTATCATATTATACTCCATATTCTATACTGAAGTTTGCTGTGGGAGTGGGGATCTTGTGGAAGTGTGTTTTGCCTTGTTAACCAACATCTTTGAGAAGTGGTGTATTGTGAGCCAGCACCTTTGGTCACGTGTTGTGGCTTGGTAGCCAGCATGTTTGAGAAGTTTGTTGTGGGAATTGATTGTACTGCATAAAATTAAGGACTTGTTAGCCACCACTTTTCAGAAAATGTATTGTAAGAATTTAAGGGTTTGTTAGCCAACACCTTTTGGTCTAAATAGTGAGCTGGCCACCAGAATTATGGCAACGACACAATAAAAGCACAAGCATTCTCTGACGTATGTCTGGTGTCTTTGTTCAGCCTGATGAGAATTTACAGCAAACATCGTGCCCCATATCAGTGGCTCGTGACTCTAATAAGAAAAAAAAATATACACATATATACATATATGTGTATATATATGAAATTAAAAAGTTTCCTAGATTTGATGTCATCCTAAGGAGGTTTTCTAGACCTAAGACAGGCTCTGCTGTCAGCAGGAACTAAAGATCTCAGATCAGAGCTTTCTGCATCACAGCTCAGTATATTTTACCAGATATTTTACCAAACAATATATTACCAATTAGATATTTTACCTGTGTGAGGAGCAGTCTTCTGAAAAGTTTTTTTGCTAGTACAGTTCAGAGCAAAATAATATCAAAGAAAATTTCTGGGGTTTATTTGTTTTCAGGTGGTTTTCTGAAAAACCTCAAGAATCTGAAAGCAGCTACTGGTCCTCTTGTACTGATGCCTGACCATGATTTTTCTTATTAATTTAGCTATAACCTTATCATTAAGAAATGCTGCAATTAATACTTAAAAGACACTGAATGCATATAGAAAAACCTTACCTAACTAATCTTCAAAAGAAAGCTGACCTTGTGATGGAAATACAAGACAGAAATACATAAGGAGTTCCTGTTGGGCTGGCTATGATCTTTTGTCTTTCTAACATTTAATCCAAAGCATCAGAAGGGGGAAATAGCTGTAAAACGACATGGCCATCTGCTGATAGAAAACTGTATAACTTCTAAAAGGTATGCAAGTGGAAGAAAAAAAGTGGAAGAAAGCAAGCACAGATTTCAGTGCTTGGTTAATGTGAGTTCTTTAAAGATGCCATCATCTGTAGGATGCAATTTTTTGAAGAGTCAACAGTTTTTAATGAAGAGCAGGTGTAAACAATGGGTCATTGCTAGAGTTTGTCCACTTAGAAAAAAAAAATACTGGTGGAATTACATCAGTGTAATTATTATTACAGATTAAAGATTATCCTCCTGTGGATAATCTGTCATTGACACATATGTGTGTGTGTGTGTGTGTGTGTGTGTGTGTGTGTGTGTGTGCATAAATTTTATTGTTCTGACTTTATGCAGGTCCTGCAAGTCCCCAGTGGGAAGATGTCCCTAGAGGTACGCATGTCACTGCAGAAGCTCAGATGCTTAAGGAACTCCAAGGTCTTTTATTCACCTTTTCATAGTTTTACATGGTGGGAAGAGAATAAAAGTTGCAAAAAACTCCTGAATATAAAGGCAGTTACACAACATAATGTAAAACTCTAATTAGACTTCTAAGTGATGTGCCACCAATACTCTGCAAGAAATAAAAATCTCTATCCAAATCCAATGCATCTTCAGTTTACATTTAAAAAAAAAAACAGCTGAGAAAGAGGTGGGATATTTAGACACTGTTTTGGTAGAGACAATATTGGAAGCATGGAAGTGAATGGGTATAGTGAGAAATATGGCCATGCTAGTATTTAAGGGTTACCCATCAGGTTTGTTTGTGACTCATTCTTCCTGGCCCTTCTAAGCCCCTTCAGCACTGCTGTGATGCAAATGTCAGCAAGGCGATTATCTTGTGGCCTTCCAGGTCAATTCACCTCTGACAGCTCTGTGAAAGCACTTCTCTCTGCTGTAGAAACCAATTAATGCTTCCTCTGTGAATAGCTCTGCAAAATAACTCTTGCACAAAAGGATCAAGTTTAATATTGACAGCAGCCTTTCAGACATGGTGAATTACCATGCTGGAGGAGGTCGTACCAATTAGATCTGGCGTTTAGAGATCAACATTTTCTGTTAAAGTGAGGCCTTCCAGAAGGAAATCATCTCTTTGATCCATATCCTGCATGGACATAAAAAATTATCTGAAAAGAAGAGAGATCACAAAAGTAGACAGAATTTAAATGTCAAGGAGGAAGTAGAAATAGCAGCAGAAATTTGACAGAGGTGAGAATAAGTTGCTACAGACTGAGACAGAGATACGTGCACCCCTAATACTAACATGCTGTCCTTACACTAGAAATAGAAAGTTTAACTTTCTCCCCATGGAGTGACACAGTGATCTGGATTTGATCTTGTATATAGACTGGCAAGGTTATTTCATTATTTGCTATAATTTCTCCACAAGTAGAAATACACACTGATATATGTTGCATCACAGTGGCTTCTTGTCAGATGGAAGTTGGAAAACAGATTCATAAAAGAGGATAAAAGCATTTAGTATATAGCTCAGAGTTACGCCAGTGAAATTATTGCGAGATGCTAATCAGAAACTTTGGCATAGGAGTCTGTAGATCCAGGGCAGAGGTATGTGAGGCTTTATAAATATGAAGCTAAGGCCTGTAGAAGTGCTTTGTTTATACTGAATCCAGAGTGAATGCTCAACTCAGGATGGTGTTCATCTAAAAAGTGACACTAGAGACAAATGAGCGCCATTCTGGGTGTAAGGGCAAGAACCTGACCACTGAGATTTACCTGTGAGTGTGAGATGACCAAGTGTAAAGCAAAGTGCCCCTGTGTTGAGATTACATTTTGCCACAGGCAATAGGCATTGTATGGTGCAAGTCTTAATGCTGTCTAAATAGTCAGAGCTACACAATCGGGAGGTGTGCCTTAATTTTTATCTTAGTGTGCTTCCTGTGTATGGACACACCAGTTTTCTTTTGTCTGCCTGGAATTTTCTAGTGTTCAGGATTATGTTCCAGCTTTAAATGTTCGCCCTTAACAATGTTTACAGCCTTTCATAATAAAGAATTGGAAAATACTCCATGATATATATTAATAGATTCTAATATAAATGAATTATAATATTTATGATTTTTCTTTTAGTAGCTGTCTTGGTTTTTCTTCACCTTGTGTTCTGCTTACTCTAAGACAGCCAATCTTGACACAGTTCCTTAAAACCATTCTTACTGGCCACGGTCTGTTCTCTTTCTCAAAAGGCCTCTGCAGGAGAACACAAATATTAACAGGTACTTTAGAAAAGTACAGCAAAAAAGAATGTATTTTCCAGACCTGTGGTGAAGCAGAGCTGCACATTTCATCACATGAAGGGGATGCCTGTGTGCATGGTCCTGATGAAGGATGAGTGGAAGAGCACCTATGTGGTTTAATGTGCCCTTACCAGATTTTTGATGCTTGAAAAAACCCTATCCAAACCCTCCTTTTAATTCCGTCCTATTAGAATCATCCACTCTGATGAACATGAGAACTGCTGTATTAGGACTGTGTCAATTGGTTGCATTTTCCAATAAAATTAAGGCAACTGACAATACAGTGACTTGTCTTGCCTACAAGTTGTATCTGCTCTGCCTTTAAAAATGAGAACCTAGTCATCTTTCCAAGTAATTGGTAGACGGCTTGGAAATAAAATTGGCAAAAAGAACGTTTTTATCTTATTTTAAGAAGATAGGTATCTCGAGGTGTAGGGGAGCGGGAAATTACTAACTACAAACCTAAGTAAATTCTGGCTCTTTTCTCTCTTTTCTATTTCCTTCTTCATCCCCCAGCCTAAACAGAAAGGTATTTATATATAACCTTATATACTTTAGGGGAAAAAAAAAAAAAAGCTGTTTCAAAAGAGTAGTAGAAACATTATGACTTCAGATCACGTCTGGACTTCTGCTTTCAGTATGGAAGTCTTGTTATTGGTAATGCACTTAGTAACACCTCCTGTTCTGCATCCAGTGCAAGTTTAAATCACAAGAATACCACTCAACTAGTCAAAAAAATATTTGCCTATCTAGTGAAATAAAAGTAAACTACTAAAGGATTGTTTAAGAGATTTTTGCAAAGTGCCTGGATGGGTTTTTTTCCCATCAAAATCAACAAGTTTTACTGTGATCACAGAGTAGACATTGATGTAAACTGAGGTGATTATGTTTAATAAACTCCTCAATACAGGAAAATTTTACATATATTTTTATTAGGAGAACCAATCACTGTTCTACAAATTAGGTTTTGTCCTCTAGGATGTATATATTTTTATATTAGAAGCTATGAAAAATCCAAATGAAGAAATTCACTCATTTTATAGAGAGCAAGTAATTTTGATGCTATCTTATGCTGCATTCTTTAACCAGAAATCAAGAGACTGGGCACAGTTCTTCAGCTTCAATTTCCTTGAATCCAGTTGCATTTGGCAAAGCCTGTATATGTGGTCACCACGCACACACACAATAGGTTTGTTTGTACACTACAGTGATTACGGTCTGGTGAACACAGAAAACAGAATTGCATAAAGAATGTAATGAGGCCTGCAGACTTGATATGGAGAGCACAAGAATTCAGCTTAGTTCTTTAAATCCAAATAGGAGAACCACTCAGCTCATTAACAAAGTCCTCTAGATAAAGTGATGCAGTTAGGTGGACCAAGACAGATATGAGACCAGTTTTCAGAGCACAGCATGCAAGAAATCAGTAGTTTACATAACTTTACTTAAAATACAATTAAAATTATTAAATAAAAAAGCTCTGACATATAGGAACAAAAGTCGCTAATACACTAACATATTATAGTTTGGATCAAATTGTCTTTTCACACAAGTAGGAAGTAGGTTAGACTCAATCCATGCTTAGCAGTTCTTAAAAATCAGAATTTTTAACTTGTGTCTTAATACATGAAGTATTAAGTAGACTTTTTTATCAGCTTGTCTCCAAGCATTAAGTTACAGGTTTGTAAAAACACAAAAAAATTTTTTTAATTCTTTCATGCGAGATTGAAATTACTTCTTCTGATTCCAAAGCAAATGCATCCTGGAAATCACAAACTGAGTTCAGACAAATGGTAATTTAATTTTTAAAAAGCCACAAATCAATCCATAGGTATGTGCACACTTTTGCTACACAATCTGGTAAGAGAAATTTCAGGCTATCTGTATGCATTTACAAAAAATTAATATTGGTGTGTAGATACTTCAATGCTTGGTCTTTCTACTGTATACGCAAAGAGATTCTATACTGCACTCCTACCATTTGCATCTGTCACAAGTTTTCACAAACCCATAGCTCAAGCATATTATTAGGTATATAATGTATATGCACTAAACTTGGTTTGAATTTATTTTTTCCCCTTTCTTTAAATTTCAGGACACTTTTTAACAGTAAGGATATGGCTACAGTGCGCTTCAGTCAGCCATCAGTTTGAATAAATAGAAAACTAAGCCCAGCATAAGAGTACTAGATTTCATTTAAAATTTTTAAATACAGAAATTAAAGAACAATAGCTTATAGGCTGCAGACACTGGTTTAAGAGCAGGTTACTGGTGTAACCAGGAAAAGTGCGAAGCCAGAGCTACAGTTAACAGCCCTTAAAATGGTAATATATCACTGAAACGGAGTTTCCAAAAAAATGAGTAAAACTGGAATCTCTAAGTGGTTAGAAAACTACTGAAGCTGTGTCTGGAATAGTCTGGCTTTGGTTAAAACTGAATGGAAATTACTCCTATTCAAATACAAGCATCACCAGACCCTTTCAACCTGTTTTCTCCTGTGTAATAACGGCTTTTCATTTCAAACTCAATTAACTTGAATGATCTTGTCACACCTACTGAAGTAATTCAAACATTTCCAGCACCAGTTGTAAGAAGCCTACATAATCTGTTCACTTTCAGACATCTTTCTATGAGAAAATATCTGCAGTGGTTCAGCCTCTGAAGTGATCCACACTTTTGAATTATTCTTGTCTGACAAGGGAGCACTATACAGTCTTTTAGCAGGATGAAATTCGGTTACATTCGTGTTATTCCATGACTTTCCACTGCTCCAACTCCATGTGGAAACTATATTTTAGGAAAGTACTCATGGAACTGTAACTGAAATGGCCACCTTTTCTGATTAGATGGGAGTTGTTAAAGCCAAAGTAAATGCTAGGTCAGGGCTTTAATCAATCAAGTTTCTCTTAAGTACAATGCCTGCTACTTTTTTATTAACAGTATGTTTACTGCTCTTGCTTTCAGGGTAAGTGCATGTAGGCCGGACATATTCTTATTTCTTGATCCCTCTTCTGTTTTAAATTCATACCTAGGCAGCTGGAATTTTCTAGGCTTGAACAGAAATCTCAGGAAAAAGCATAAAAGAGAAGTAAACATTGATAGATTATATAAAATGCACCATAACTTTATCTGCATTAGGGATATTTTATGAGAAGATAAAATTTAAGCCTTTTATTAAAAATGTTTAAGTAAGTTACTAACACTATGAAACTACTTGTGTTATAGAAGTCTCAACAGGAAAGACACATACAAATTGGATATAAATTTTGAGGATTTAATTCTATTTTTATGTTGAGGGTATCTGAAGATGATTAAGTATTAATTTCAGTATGTCCTCGTAGAAATAAAG